GTTCCACGTGAAGTAATATGGTACGCCTTACGGCATCATGGCGTTCCCGAAGAGCTTATTGAGTGGGTTCGCATGCTCTACTCGAGCCCAAAGAGCCGAGTGCAAACGTCAGCAGGCACTCGATGGAATTTCCCATCTCTGTTGGGGTACACCAAGGCTCTGCGCTATCCCCACTCCTTTTTGTTGTCGTCATGGATGCCATCTCACGAGATCTTCAGAAACCGGCTCCATGGACGCTTCTCTATGCTGATGACGTGATGCTCGCCTGCGAAGACAAAAACGTACTCGAACAACAAGCGCAAGCTTGGTGCGATCGCCTAGCGATGTTCGGACTCAGGTTGAACGTTAGGAAGACTGAGTACCTGACAACCGACACGAGCGAGTGCGGTTCTATCAAAATAAATGGCACAGAGCTGACACGTACAACGACATTCAAGTATCTTGGATCAGCAATTGCGTCTGATGGCAGTATGGTACTGAGGTGAACTCGCGTGTGAGTGCGGCTTGGTCCAAGTGGCGTTCTATGACGGACATTTCTGTGATAAGAAAATAATATCGAAATCGATGATCCATTGAATGGTCACAAGATCAGTGACGCACAGCGCTGAGTGCTAGTTCTTGACCAGGGATACTGAAGCCGGCGTTGGCGGTGGAAACGCTGGACGGCTAGTGTCACACGTTTAGATCGCATTCGCAATGATGCCATCCTGGAACGCTTTGGTGTAGCTCTCATAAGTGATCAAAACGTGTGGGGTACGGCCACATTTTTGCGGAAATGACGAGGGTGTCCGCAAGACCAGAACAGATGTGCTAAAGGACGCCCAATAAACGCTCGATTGGCTTGATACTCTGTATGTAATTAATTGGCCTTCCACCCCGATAAGGCATTCAATCGGAAAAAGTGGCGTTTAATATAATATAAATACGGTCCCGCCCCTAAGCGGGATAAACGCTGAGGATAAAGAAGAAGAAAGCTGAACTTTTCTGGTATTACTAGTCGAAAGAGTATTCTTTGAAGGATGAGTCCGCGGCGTGATGCGAACGTCTGGAGTCTTTACACCTCCACTTATGGTTTCAAGTCTCTGACCTTCCAGTTTCCGTAGAAACTAGCCGAAATTCGAGAATTGATGTGGTCCATGTACTATCGCGACAGCCCCATTCAGCAGCTCCACCAGTGTTCCGTATGACAGCTGTGATCAAGGTCGCTCTTTCGTTGATGATTCGCTAAGGAGAAAATCATACCGGAAAATTTCAGAGGTGGTTTGAGAGGATCACGGTTGCAATGAAACTGTGAGAAAGGGGTCATTTGATTTCAGCTTTTTGATTTTCTGAATGAAAACTTGACCAGGTATCAAGTTGAAGCGTGTCGATTGTCTCGGAGTAAAATTATATAAAGACAACATTGTAAAATTTTCGAAAGTTTTCCCAACCTCACGGTTGGCCCTGCTTATAACTATCTTTCGTTTGCATTGTGTCAACAGGTTGCTAACAGTTTTCGTTTTTTTTTCTCGGGTGTGTATGCTGTCAGAATGAGGGCGCTCAGAATTAAGGAAGGAAATATTTGCAGAAGCACGCTCTTCCAAGCAAAGAAGGAGATGCGGAAACATTACCTACCCTTGAATTCGATCCAAAGCTCAACGAAATTGTCGACATAGGCTCAGATATAGAGGTTCTGAAAGAAGTAAGTACTACTCCCTTTCCATGTTCGCATTTTCTAAAATTATGCCTTCTCGAAATTCCTGAATTGCAGGACAAAATTGACAGCGCTGAAGATGAAAAAGTACGTGGTTTTCCATAACATTCTCACACACTTCGTTATCTGTTCCGCGTTCATTGTGTGTCCGTAAAATCGAGGGGATCGGGCTGTCCAGACCTTCATCTTTCTCCTTCTTTGCTTGGAAGAGCGTGCTTCTGCAAATATTTCCTTCCTTAATTCTGAGCGCCCTCATTCTGACAGCATACACACGAGCACGAGAAAAAAAAAACGAAAACTGTTAGCAACCTGTTGACACAATGCAAACGAAAGATAGTCATAAGCAGGGTCAACCGTGAGGTTGGGAAAACTTTCGAAAGTTTT